TCCTGCAGTGCACTTAAAAGGCCATAGGCTCTCTGCACAGAGGTGGTACTGTATGTATTGAATTCTACAACCACACCTCAGAATAACCACAGTACTTGTGTATAGTGTACACTTAACCTGCATACCCTTCACCACACCGTCAACCTGGGCAATTAATAAAGTAATTTATCCATTTAATTGTATCCATTTTAAGGGCATTTTGCAAGAGGAGAAAAGGACAGCAGTGCCTTCCCCAAAAATCTGGAGGAGAAAGTAATCATCAGTCCAAAAATAAAACAAACCACTAATGTAAATGTAAACCACTAATTTTATAAAGTGTCCAACAGCGACACCAGCGGATACAGTTTCATAAGAAGGCCTTGAGCTCACCGTGTTTTAAAGAATGGAGTGGATGTGAGTGTGAATAGTGAAACAGAGGTGCAAAATAACAAATTAAATTAAATTAAATTATAAAAAATTAGCCTGAATTGATAAAACTAAAAATCTTTTAAATGACTTGCAACATCAAATAATCTAAAGGTTCTGGTGACAATTCAGCTTGTTTATCTTAAAGCATTCTTGGTATGGCAAGAATTTGTTGACTGGTCAGACAAACAGGATGACTATAAAAAAAACAAATATAATAAAAATAATAACAGACAAACAACAGCAAGCAGAACAAATCAAACATATTCAATATTAGTATTACTGTATTAATTGTGTTATTTTTGTTTTTGAAGCATGTAAAAATGTTAAATGTACATACAGTACTAACATCTTATAGTATTACTTCTATTCATCCATAATCTCCTGTGGCCCACAAAAACAAGAGAGGGAATTTGCCTCCTCATTTCGGTCCACAACACTCCACTGATCTGTATCCACCGAAATGCATATGCATATGCAAGCAGTGCACTCAAAATAACACAAACGAGGTTAGTAAATACATACACCCACAGAGCTGTGGGAGCTGTAAGTTCCCACTCTCAAAGACACTCTGTACTCACAGACTACAGCATAGATGCCCTTTATATAAAAAAGTAATTAGAAGCTCATCAGTTCATGTTGTTCTGAGGCTCCTCCAAATGATCTGTAAAAGAGGCAATGCTGGCCTCTCTCGGCCTTGCAGGGCTTTTATCACGGGACGATGCGGGAGGTGTGGGTCACGTCAGAACCTCAAAAATAGCCCTCCATTTGTCATATGTGCGGAACGTTCGGGCCCTTGGGCATATGCAGATCACACCCCGACGCTTTGTTTGAGTCTCCGAGGTCCCACAGAGATGCTGCCTCCACCCAACCGTCGTCTCTAACCCAGAAAACAGAGGTGAATGGACCTCCACGGGCAGTTGTGCGATGCAGAGCGGAACGTTCTGCGCATCACGCCGATGTTCAAGTACTTTTCTGGACTGTCCTAAATCAAAAGCTGTAACAGGGCACCAAAAGCCCGTGGCGGCCTGCTCTTCTGAGCATGAACCTAACCGTACATCATTAGCCAGGACTCCTCCAGTCCTCCTACCTGCAGGGACCTTCTGGGCTCCAGGTGTTTGGGGTAAATGCACCTTCGCTACCTAGCCACATTGGGCTAATTTAGAGCAGGCTACCTGCAGCTGCAGGGCCAATGTAAAGCCACGCAGGGGCTTGGGATTACGACTCTGTAGACATCAAAGCCTGCCCACCACCCCGGGCTCATCAAAGGCGAGTGTGTCTGTGCTGATGTGGAAAGTGATTGGTCTTGGACCAGAGACCCATGTCACCCCCGCCATCACCACTGCAGGGTTTATCCCAACACAGAGGAAGCATGATAACAGGCCAGGCTTGTGTTTACGAGCTCAGGTTTTAATTGCAGTTAAAAGGCAGCACCTCACCGCTCGAACAGAACGCTGCTGATTACAAACGGGACAGTGGGGCGGGCCGCATAACTCAGATCTCACGGTTAATGCAGAAGCAGACTGGGAGAGGATTACTTTACACTCATTACACTCAATAACAAAGCATGACTCTACAGTACAACACAGCAAGAAGTCCATAAATCTACCGAGAGACACGTGCAGATTAAAAACATCACAAGCCATTTACATTCAACTTAACTAACCGAAATGTATTAATAACATTCTTCATCAAGACTATTTATATATTCAACCACATGATTCTATGGTGGAAATTAAATTTTAAAGAGATCTGGAAGAAACTTTGTATTATTATTATTATTATTAAGGCTAATTTTATAGCTAGCAATAATTACATTTTATTTTAACATCTTTTCAAACAACTTTTTAGAATTTTACAAGGTTATAGATTGACTGGAAATGATGCACAATAAAAATATTCTGTACACATTATTGATCACAAGTACACTAACTTGAAATGATAGGGCAAAATTTTTGTTCATGATAAAAATGATGCAATAACTAATGGACAGATGATAACTGAAAGTAAATGTATTATTGTTTAATTCATTCCTTTAGATGATCATTTTGAAGTGTAATAATCTTAAATTATGGATTTTCACGTTTAGATTGAAAACAAAATCTTTACAATATCTATATACACAATAGCATAATTTTAAATCTTTCATAATTTTTCATTTTTAATCTTTTTTTTTTTTTAAAGTGACATGATGTGTGGCCAAGTACAGTGACCCTACAATTCCTGCCGGTACCGAGACGCAAACACGCAACATTTGCTTTACCAGTCTGACTCTCTAACTATTAGGTCACAACTGCCCCTTAAATTTGAGCAAGAATGGAAAGTAATTTCCAAGTTTTAGCATGACTTTTAAAAAAAACTGTAGCACAACACCTGGTACATTAAGATACTTGTAGTTAAAGGGGTCATATGATGCAATTTCAATTTTCCCCTTCTCTTTGGAGTGTTACAAGCTCTTGGTGCATAAAGAAGATCTGTAAAGTTGCAAAGTTGCAAAGACTAAAGTCTCAAATCCAAAGAGATCTTCATAAGAGATTCTATTTAGATTGAAAACAAAATCTTTACAATATCTATATACACAATAGCATAATTTTAAATCTTTCATAATTTTTCATTTTTAATCTTTTTTTTTTTTAAAGTGACATGATGTGTGGCCAAGTACAGTGACCCTACAATTCCTGCCGGTACCGAGACGCAAACACGCAACATTTGCTTTACCAGTCTGACTCTCTAACTATTAGGTCACAACTGCCCCTTAAATTTGAGCAAGAATGGAAAGTAATTTCCAAGTTTTAGCATGACTTTTAAAAAAAACTGTAGCACAACACCTGGTACATTAAGATACTTGTAGTTAAAGGGGTCATATGATGCAATTTCAATTTTCCCCTTCTCTTTGGAGTGTTACAAGCTCTTGGTGCATAAAGAAGATCTGTAAAGTTGCAAAGTTGCAAAGACTAAAGTCTCAAATCCAAAGAGATCTTCATAAGAGATTCTTTATAAAAGTTAAGAATCAACCACGCCTACCTAAAATGGCTCATTCTAACACGCCCCCACATATCTACGTCACTATGTGGAAATATTAGCATAATGCCGCCCAAATGTGCACGCAAAGAAAGAAGGCGTGGTTTCAGGAACAGCAGTAGTGTTGAAGCAGTCATGTCAGGGAGACACTGTGTGTTTCAGTGCGAAAGCAAAAGCACTTTATTTGGCCTTCCGGAAGTAGATGTAATTAGGAATCATTGGTTAAGATTTATTTACAACAGAACAGCACATCCCAGATGTTTGAATTTCTGCAACTCATTTTATGGACGACAATTTTTTTAACCTAGAAGAGTACAAGGCTGGCAGTGCACAAAGGCTATTTCTAAAAAAAAAAGGGCCATTTCCGACTTTGCTATGACAATCTGGTGCTTCCGAATCAGCGACTGTAAGTATGTTTTGTTATTAGTTTAAGTATTTGCTATTGACTGTTCAAATGCGGAGTTTTGCGCAGCGCAGAGTAACGCGTTGTGTGTGTGAGTGTGAGGGGAACAGGGTCACATCACAGGAGAGTGAACTGCCTGTCAGAAATCATAGCACGTCAGGTGTCTTAACCGCGGCTTGTGTACTGCATCATCACTGTGTCTGTCACGCGACTCTGTTGCCCTTTGGGGCTTGAACTGATGGTAAAACTAACAACATTATTAACTGTCTTGATATTTACTTTGAAAGCTGAAGCTGCGATTATGGTGAGGGGTGTTACATTTCTGACGCGTGCTTGTGGTGTTCGGCCAATCACAATGCACTGGGTCAGCTGGCCAATCAGAGCAGACTGCGCTTGTCAAAGGAGGGGGCTTTGTTGAAAACTATGCGTTTGAGAGAGGCGGGGCATAGAGGACCTACAATAATGTACAGTATTTGAAAAATAATGTGTTTTTTTAACATTAAAGCATGTCAACATATTCTGTTACACCAAATACACAAAATAATGATCTTTAAAATAGCATCATATGACCCCTTTAAAGAAACACCCAATTGCAAGGACCGAAATCAATAAAATATTAATTAGCATTATATATTTCCACAGAAGAAATTGCCATTATAGGTATAAAAGTTTAGGAGAAGTTTGTAAGTTTAAAAAGTCAACGTTCTTTCCATGGTAATGAGTCACAAGGCTGTCTGTGATGACAAGAATAGAATTCCCTGATTCTGCATTTATGCATATTACCCTGAGCGGAAAGCATAAATTAAAGCATAGAAAAGGGAACAGGGAGAGAGAAAACTCCACAAATACATTCTCACACAGCAGAGTTCATTGTTATTATTTTATTATGTTTGCTCGGGCTAGCATCACTATCCCTGTTGCTCATACTTAGGGTTGGGGATTAAAACAAACCAATAGAAACTAATTTATAATCTTAAGTATATAACTCCTCCCACTCAGTTTGTACTACAGGCATAAATGACACCTCAAATTGCATAAAAGTTTGATACATCGTGTGACATCAGAACTGACATCATTTTGGAATTTGGCAAAATCCAAATGCATGCAGGTGTCAAGAGTTGCAATCCTGGGGTAACCAACAGTAGGGGTGAATGTTATAAGGAATACATACCACTTGAACGTCTGAGGGCACTCGGGACAGGAAGTCCAACAGCTCATTGTTGTCAATGCTGTATGGGTCTCGCAGTTTTTTGGTGAACTTGTTCACTCCTGAAAGTTGAAACAACGGTGGCGCATTAGACCTCACTCACAGAGTGCATTTCGGGAGGACCTTATAAGATCCTGTACGGATTCTGAACCCTCATCTTTGTACTTTAAAGGATCAGCTGCTATGGAGCTGACAGGAGCTGTGCTCTCTGACCTTGCAGAGCTTCAGATCTGAACACTGTATGAAAGAGCACACGGGGCATTAGCTACGAGTGAGTTTGCCCTGAGCTCAGCAGTTTACTGTCTTCTCTGCTGTGCTGGTGGCGAATCCCTGTAGCATGCAAACCTAAACTGCCACTAAACTCTGTGATCTCCTGCAATAGTCTATTTGAAATTCTAAAATACACATTATGTAACATGCTAATGTTATTTTATCATTCATGACACATTATGAGCGTAATGACAGCTTACCCCAGGCCAGTACAATGTATCTGAGAGGAATGAAGTACACCACAAGAGTGGCCGCACACAAGGCCACTATGGCCAGCCAGCTGAGGAAAGGCACAGTCCAGTTCAAAGTACTGAGAACAGAGAAAAGGGTGAGAAAAGGATGTTATTTCCTTCTACACAGTTCTACGTTATGTCTGCACCGGACATGAGAGACAAGCTGCAACAAAATCCAAGAGAAGCTATTATAATCAGTGATAATGTCTACACTGAATGCAGTAAACTGATGCCACATTCTGTTTCTAACATATTCCACACACTTGCGCTACTTCCGACAACAGGACAAATGGATTTAGAGCTTTTATTTTAATGCATCCAGTGCAGACAGCCTAAAGTTATTGCGGCAAGTGGTCATACCCAGTGTAGACAGTTTCATGTTAGTGGGGCCATATTTTATTTTTTACTATAGTTACAGTTTCTATTAAAACACCATAGTTACAACAACACCTGTAAAACGATGCTGTCATGGTAAATATCAAGATGCAAGTACAGTATTAATATTTCATACCGATGAATATCATTTCACACAAAAACATCTTAATTTGTTTAAAATTTATTAATTTAAAATGAGATATGTAAGATAATACTAATATGGTATTCATTAAGGTTTATGCTTAAAACAAGAAAAAAAATTACTAATGGGGTAAAACAAACTTTTTTCCCGTTAAATCGTTTGTGACCTATAAAAAAGATATGTAAGATAATACTAATATGGTATTCATTAAGGTTTATGCTTAAAACAAGAAAAAAAAATTACTAATGGGGTAAAACAAACTTTTTTCCCGTTAAATCGTTTGTGACCTATAAAAGTTCTTTTTAATGTTTCTGAAAAAAGTCTCATGCTCATCAAGACTGCATTTATTTGATCAAAGTATAGTAACAGTTAACAGTAATACTGTGAAATATTATTATTACAGTTTTAAATAATTGTTTTATTTATTAATATGAAAAGAGTAGAAACAGTCTATATATTGAAAACAGTTGTGCTGCTTAATTTTTTTGTGGATAATATTTTTTGTGATACTTTTTTCAAGAATATTTGATGATTAAAATTTTTTGAAACAGCATTTATTTGAGATAGATTCTTGTTTTTAACATTTTAAATGGTACACTCTCATTCTCTAAGGCAAGTTTTGCTTTTTAGATAAATTTGGTTAAGGATGTTTAGACATTCCACTGGAAAACAAGACAAAAACACTGATTAGGAAAATTATTTTTTTTGCAGTGTAAGCATGTGTGTTTGTGTTTGTTTATGAGGCTGAGTAAGATGTGACAGAGATTGGCACGGTGGTGCCCGCGTGTCTGCTCAGGCACAAGCAGCAAAAGCTGAAACTTACTTCTTTATCCTCTCACCATAGGAGGCCACTTCATCCAGAGCATTCTGCACACTGATACACACATCCTGAATGGCATACAGCTTATTCATGAAACCCTTTCTCTCGGAGTCCTGAAAGAATGAGAGGGAGAGAGAGACAGGCTGGGCAAATGCATTTCCACACAGCTGAAAGAGCATGAGGTGCATCAAAGGCTTGGTGAGCTCTCTCTCTCTTTCCAAGTTCTCCATGCTGCAATAAACATGTTTGAAATTAATCACACTTTGTGTATCAATAAAGAGAAGAATATGTATTCTAATACTTTCTTCAGAGAGAACTAGCTATGTTGGATAACCAGGTTTTACAATGGTGACATCATTGTGGCCATCACCACCATCATTACTATGTGCACCAAAAACTTGTGATGGCCTTCAACTTAAAAAAAAAACACTGGCCACAAGAACCTCAAAAGTAGGCGTCAGTTAAATGTTTCCACAGTCAAAAAGCTCAGATTTTATTCTAACAATAAGAGCAGTCATGCAACAGTTGGGCTGACACAGAATGTAGTGACTGAGTGTGGACACACAGACAGAGACTATTGTAGTGCATTGATGTGCTGAGACACACACACATGTACACTTCCACACTCACCTTAACCCTTAAGGGACTGTTCACACAAAAATACAAATCCTGTCATTATTTGCTCATCCTCATGCCATTCCAATCCTGTTTTTTATTGACAGAGCAGCCTGAACAACCTGAAAAACATATTTTTCTGTGTTTTTTGCTGAAGAAAGTAAGTCATAGATGTTTGAAATGAAGCAAATGAGGACAGAATTGCCATTTTAGGTGAACTATTCCAAGAAAGTACAAGATCAAAACTCAAAACTCATCCATTTAACTTACAAAACACTCAGGCAAAATCTACATTTGCGCAACTCTGTCTGTTTGAAGAGAAAAAACGAAATCCTGGCCTATTAGCAATGTGAAAAATAAGCTACGTCCAGATTTCCAAACTCAGACACAGGCTGTGCCCCTCCGGTGGGCCTACACAAATGGACTGGCAGCACTTGAGAAGAACGAAATGTCCTGGCAAAATGATCCCAGCGAGAGGGCACTGCCATGCAGCAGTGAGCATCACTATGCCTTTGCCCCGGGTCTGCTTTACAAGAGCTCCAGGCCTCTGCTCAACCCTGCCCAGGCTTATCTGAAAGCACTTCAGTCGCCATCCTCAGGCCTTTCATGGAGATCAATTGAAATGTCACTGCAGTGGATCATGTCCACAATGAGTCGACCAGCTACTGAACCACTGGATCAAAACCCACTGTGCAAATCAAAGCAGGAAAAGAGGGATGGTGTCAATGCATAGAGATGCTAACATAAGACACATCTATCTTTTTTTAGCTTTATAAAGGAATGCAAGTGCATGGATACTGTACATTATTTGAATTGAAAGAGATTTTACGCACAAATTTTAAATACACATGTATTGGCTCTCAAAGACAGAGGTATCACAAGCACATAACACTGAGGTCTATTGTAGTCTGATTAACGTGTTTACATGCTGGGTGAAGCTGAGCTTTAATTTTATTATCAAGGTCTGTTACTCTGATTTGGGGTTTTATCAGTAACTAAAACTTAAACCATTAAAAAAAACGTTCATTACTTGAAATAAATTAAAATAAAATGAATTAAAACTATTTTAATTGCCATTCCTTTTTTTTAATAACTAGAAATAAATAATCCAAAATATAAAAACTAAAACTTAAACATTTAGGAAAAAAACTAATAAAAATGACAAAAATTAATTACAATATTACTACAATTTTATCTGAAATGAAAATGAAAACAGAAAACAAAAACAAAATCTAATTCAAAATATTAACAAAAACTATAATAGTATATCAACAATACTAAAATAACACTGGTACAACTTCACAAAAACTGTACATTTAAATTGCACTGAAAAAAAAATTTTCATTCTTCCAATTAAAAAAATGTAGGGTGATGATTCACATCTATATTTTTTAACTATAATTATGCCAATGCAAAATAGGGCAAGTTATTTATTTTTCATTGGCTCAAGTTAAAAAATATAGATGTGAATCATTACCCTAAATTATTTTAATTGGATGAATGAAACATTTTTTTCAGTGTGTATTTAAACCAGCAGTTCTCAACATTTTTGACTTCAAGGCCCCTCTTTGTAGAAGGCAATATTCAAAGGCACTCTTATTTGAGCGGAATAAACAAAAAAAAATATTATGTTTGATGTTGTACATCTTTAATATTTTAAATAACATTAATGTTAATATAATTAAATGTACATAATTCTAAGACGTATTAGGGTCACATAATGGGCCCTAACCCCCTGGCTGAGAACTTATTTCTACACGCAGAACAAATGTTTCCAGAACAGGTATGTATAAGGGTCCATACAACTCAAGCCACAGATGAAGCAATGAACAAGACTGGTACTGGAATATCATCCTCAAAATGAAAAAATATGCTTACCATACTGAGATGGGTCTCGGAAAAAAAACTGATCAAACTGTATGTACTCCCTCAACACACACACACACACACACACATGCACACAGAGTATCCCATCCATCTCCCAAACTTTGTACTGGATCCCACATTTGAAAAATGAAGCCCAATATGGCCTGCATAACCACATCGCCTTCCCAAAAAGCCACACAAGACAAATAGATATAATTAGACCGCGTCCCAGGGTTATTTTTCTTAGCAAATATTTAACAAGACTCCCCTGTCCTGACTCCCATCTGGTTTGCGTTATCAACCGTAACAAAAGTCCAACTTGCTCTCCACTGCATCGGGCACTATATGAGAAAAGAAGACTTTGAGGGACAAGGTATCTGTGTGTGCGTGTACGAGCGAGCGAGCGAGGGTGGAGGTGCAGGTCATGGGTCTCTACAGTCTAAACCATTACCACATGGCCCTCAAACCATGAGCTAACTCTGATTTCCTGCCTTCAAAAGTGGATTGAGGAAGGCAGGAGGTTGAAATAACACTAGCCTGGGGAGAGGCTTGTTTTCACTGCTCCTCTGCACTTCTCTCACACACACATAAACACGCTCACACCGCTGCGAGCCGAGGAGCAACCTGCTGCAGAAGAGCCTGCTGTGGATCCTGGCTGAGCTGTGGCCCGCTGAAGTGACACATAGGCTTTCTATTACCTCAGGTCCTCTTCCTCACGTATGCGGACACACATCGGCACAGCGGGAGGTACACTTGATGTCAGCGGGCAAGGGAAATTGATATTTAGTCAAAAATCAGTTCTGTTTAAAGTGTCTTCCAACAGTGCAGCCTAATCTGAACTCTTCTAAATGCACAATGTCAACATATATAGAGTTTGAATAATGCGATATCACACGAGCAAGAGTGTCCTGCTCTACTGAATATCAGCACTGCTGCTGGCCACTGTATATTACAATTTCAGTACAACCACACGATTACACGTGCATTGATTTTAAACTGCAGTTCTATAAACACAATTTTTAAGGCTCAATGAGTTACAGGGGTGTCTATGATAAAGAAAGAGTGCACTTATCTTCACAATTATTTCAAAACATTTTCAAATATATTTTTAAAACAACATTTGTATTTCAAATATCATGCATTATCAGCTCCTGAATATCTTTACTAATAAAAGTAATGTAATTAAAAAATAAAACAATATCAAAATGAAAATACTACTGAAACATCAGAATGACATGAAATATTTAAAAATAGTAACAATATAATGAATATAATAAATATTATAATTTGTGATATTAATATTTCAGTATCAATATTCCATTTCAATCATAGTAGATATTTAAACTACTGCATGTACTGTATGTATATACAGTATATATATATATATATATATATGTGTGTGTGTGTGTGTGTGTGTGTGTGTAGGTAAATGTATATATATATATATAGTAAAGACAGTACTTTAGTATCTTAATCATATCTTCAACGATCTGAATAAGAAATAACGATTTTGGATTAGAAATAAGTGAAGAGAAGTGCTTTAATAAAAAGAGCTTTCCTTGCTCCATATGCATTACTGTAGACCTGGTTTTGTTTGATTGTCCAAACTGATGGCTTTTAATCTTTAAAGCAATCAGAGATTAAATCTGCACCTTAAATGACACAGATGCTGTTGACAGCCTCTAAACAATCCTTTAACCACAAGGCCATGTCTCCAAGATCTTTAAAGCATTGTTCTCAATTTTAAAGTGTCATTCTTAATGTGAAAACGGATTACCTGAAAAATCAAATAACACCTCAATAACACTAAAAGTTAAATAAGCTTTGTGACATCAATGGCTGGCAAGTAAATGAACAGACTCTCCCATCTTGAACAGTGTTATCATTAAACAGTGTGTAGGACTGAGTGCAGCTGTCCGGGACCCCCTAGCGCATCCCCATTACCAAACTCCTTAGGGCTGCTAGTGCTGCAGGCAAGCAGAGGCAAGTCCATTCTAGCCAGTTCCCAACATCAGGCTATTCACACCTTACTGTCCCATCAGGAGGCTCGCACTACCTTGCAATGGGCACCCAGCATAGCAGGAGACTGATGAGGTTGGCACAGAACAGGACAGACACTTCGTAGAGGGCATATCTTGTTTGTTAACGACAGCAGGAAGGGGAACGATGTCCCAGGGGCGCCAAACTTCATTTACACCAAAGCCAGAGCCCCAATGCAAGAGGACGGACCCCCAGCTGGGCCTAATCCACACCCACGCCCTTCTCTCGGCATGTTCAGAGGGAGAGAAAACAAGATTCTTTGATCTACGCAGCACTAAAGGTGAGGGGAACAAAGGAGGCAGATAAGATAGAGATCAAGATGAAAATGAAATCATTTCACCCGGGCCAGGCCTCTCCCTAGATACATTATTTGTTTGTCTTCTCTCATTTCGAGCCAAAGGCGCACTGACCCAGACGGGCAGAAGTAGGGAGCGATATCACCAAGGAAAAGAGTTCCACACCTCTTACGGCAAATAAAGCCAAGAGAAGTCCCCTCAGACAGACGTGAGTCCACCTCTTATCAGTGAAACATGAAACGAAAAACAATTTATTTAAATAGACATGTGCATTAATTTTCCAAAAGTAGTTCATT